GCTTCTAGAAGTATGTTCTTTTCTCTGTTCTTTTCCGTTTCATTACGATTTTTTTCCTATTCAAATCCCCCTTTTGATCGAAAACAAAAAAGTTCTTTTCGTGAATTTCAATTTAAAATGAGCAGCGAAGGAAAGATTCATGATGGGAATCCTTACTTTTAATTAGATTTTTAAGTTTTACGAACTTATACGAAGAATATTTTGTGAAGATAAAAAAAACTGGGGTTACATGTGATACATCAGGTATATGAAAATAAAGTTTGATTGAGTTCAAGAAAAGGAGTTTTTAACACAAGCATGGACATGTTTTGGATAAAAATGTACTTTGTTCTTCACTTTTTGTTTGATTTGTGTGGCTAGAAATTGAGTTTTAGTGTTCATGAACAACATTGTTACATGTCTGACGTTCGTTCTTACGTCGTCTAAGTTAATTTAAAATGAAATTGCTTTTTTATTGTTAAAGCTAGACAGTAATGGAAGAAAAAGCTATTGGTGATTTTTCGTCATCATTTAGAGCGATAATAAACTAGTTAATTTTCTTAGAAATTTAGTCGAAAGTCTAGAAATTTCTGTTATTATTTTTTAGGTATTTTGCTGTTTATTGGAAGTTTTTATTGTGAATCATAAAATTACACGAAATAATGCGCAACAAGAATAATCAATTGATAAAATTGTACTTTGTTCTTCACTTTTTGTTCGATTTGTGTAGCTAGAAATTGAGTTTTAGTGTTCATGAACAACATTGTAACATGTTTGACGTTCGTTTTCACGTCGTCTAAGTTAATTTAAAATGAAATTGCTTTTTTATTGTAAGAGCTAGACAGTAATGGAAGAAAAAGCTATTGGTGATTTTTTGTCAACATTTAGAGCAATAATAAACTAGTTAATTTTCTTAGAAATTTAATCGAAAGTCTAGAGATTTCCGTTACTATATTTTAGGTATTTTGTTGTCTATTAGAAGTTTTTATTGTGAATCATAAAATTATGCGGAATAATACGCAACAAGAATAATCAATTCTGTATACTTTTATTGTACATTATTTGATGGAAAATTCTGTACACATATTTACATGATTAAAGTGCATTGTATTGATGTCTGAAGGAATTTAAAATAAAACTAGTTTTTTTTTTACTGTAAAAACCTTCGGTGATGATAATAAGGCTATTTACTGGTCATTATTTTGACCATAATTTTTTTTAATTGCATCTGATGTAAAACAATGATATATTTATAAACTTACGGTTGGAATTGATAACTTTCATATTATAATAAATCATAAACTTGTCATTTATAATATACAATGCTCATATAATGCCTCATATATGCCTTCGGTGATAAAAATAAGACTTTTTTTTCAATAATTCTTTTCTTCAAATTGCATCTTAAGTAAAACCGTTATGTATTTATAATTTTACGATGAGATTTGATAACTTTAATAATAAAAGAAAACTATTCGAAGTATACATAAAAATATGCTACTCTAAATAATGGTACAAGCATTAATTATATATCATAAGCTTTTAAAATCAAAAGAGTTTCTTGTTTTGTGACAAGTAGCATTTTAATCAAAACACATGGATTTCCAAAATTATGTTTTGAAACTCAAAGCAGCTCTTAGTCCAAAATTATGTTTTGAAACTCAAAACAGCTCTTAGTCCTCCTTAAAATTATTTATGAATATTTACCACGTCGAACAAATGTAAACTATTTTTTTTTTTAAAAGTCGGTTCTTTATCTCAAAGATAATGACAATTTAGAATTTATCTTCCATAGCTTGTAGTGAAATGTAAGCTTTATAAAAGTGCTTCTGCAATCAAATTCATTAAATGAATTACTTGTCAACTAAAAAAAAGTTCTCTGGCTCATGCTAAGAGAATCCTGAAGTTGTCTTAAACCAAGCATATGGTACCCATTGTTATGGGTACCTGTTATATATACTGATTGAAATATTTCATTGACCGAACAGTGAAAATATTGACAAATTATTACGACATCTCATAATGCATAGTAATGTATGGAGAAAAAGAATTCAGTTCAATATCAAGGAATAGTAAGAAAGCAAGGAAGTAAATCTTTATTTTTATACTTAAAATTGCAACAATATTATAAACTGGTGCATTTTAAGAGAAACAAAATATATCAAAAATATAATAATTTCCTTCTTATTTCCTTTATAAAATAATAACGGGTAATGGGACAAAATTTTTGTGTTGAACTATATTGAAGAAAAAAAACACATCAACAATTGAATAAACGTATAGACAAGTTATTGTAGTTTCTCTGAATTCATTGATTTACATCATACAAAAGCATACATGCAGAAATTAGTCCGATAAGGTGTTTTCGTGAATGTTAAAATTTCAAAACATATTTAACTCATGTTAACGTACTAAGAATATTAAAATGATCTATTCGGTGTATGAATGCGTTTATCAAAATGTTATAAGGTAGTTAAATGCATTTTTCAACATTTAAAATTCGTATTGCTCACGATGAAAGTTAAGCATTTTCCCTATTTTTTACTGATTATTTTTTCTGAAGTAAAATATACTGTAAAACAATTTGTTACAATAGCAATAAATATAAAATGAAAATGTTAGAGCTTATAAAACTTTAAAATATATCAGAAACTTATTCAGGAAGAAAAAAAAACTAGTGTAGTTTTCCTTGTTCGAAAAAGAAGTTGATAATTCCGATTTATATGAGTTGGTATAATCTCAAAAAATAAACTATAGAAATAAAACTGGAAACAAAAGAATTTCCTTCTTTTTCTTTTATAGAGTACCAACAGATAATAGAACACAACTCTGGTGTTAGTGACAACAGTAGAGATTTAAGGACGAAAATAAAAATCCGATATCGTTTTCTCTTTTTTTATAGAAAAGAAGAAAAAAAATATTTTATCGTTCAGTGATTCCCTTTTACGGTTATTCCTAGTTTAACTTCTCTTTCTATTTATATTCTTTTCTATGAGGTAGAAATGTGTGATAAATTCAATCTAGATTTCAACTGCGTCGTTACTGAAATAACTCTTTGAGCAAACGATTTCTGAAGTCATTGTAATCGGTAATGCTGCCTTTGTTGCCACTGTGGAAAAAAAAGTTGGAAAAAAATGTTAAAATCAAAGCTTGATAAAATCTTTTTGTAGAGAATAATCTATTAATAATTCTTTGGATTACCGCTTCAAAAATTTATTTTATTTCCAACCAATAAATATTTGATCTCCTCAATGATTTCCTTTTGTGAATCGTTGGCAGTTGTATTGTTCTTATTTTTTATCTGGTTGTGCCAATTTAAAATTTAGAAAATTGCATCGTGTGGGCACAGATTATAAGCATAGTGAAGTCAAATAACTTACATAATCTACTTTTTTCCTTTACAAAACTGTGCTAAGTTAACTTGCAATTGGTCCACTACCACAATAGTTCTAGTTAATTTTTTTTCGTTCTCATAATATTTAAATTCTTTTTATATCTGTAATGAAAAAATAGAGAGTTCGTGTGACTGCTTATATGTATAATGAAAAAATAGAGAGTTCGTGCGACTGCTTATGTGTATAATGAAAAAATAGAGAGTTTGTGTGACTGCTTATGTGTCTCTCGTATAACTCCAGAACTGTTATTTTATCATCTTAAAATTTGAGCAGCTTACAATTTTTGCCCTCAATATTAAAATATCATAGGGGCCAATTTTTGTCCTCAATATTTAAATTCGTTCCAAATTTTTAGTTATGTCGTTCGGGAGAGTTATGTGAAAAATGGAATTTTCCAATTGGCCTCGTATTAGCCATTGATTTAAATTAAATCATTTAATCTAAAGACTGTTGCGTTTTATTTCTTAAACAGCTCTTAATTACTTAACAAAGTACTTTATTGCACTTTCTTAAGTAACTAATTATTTGTTATTCGTTACTTTAGATTAATAAAATATCTAATAAGAACGTAGTAGCAGTATGCATGAATTATTTGACCAAATAAGAAAACTACTCTATAGTTATCTGAAACGCATTTATTTTGAGTGTAGTTATGCTTTTAAAATGTCGTTAGATAAAATTAAATAATTTTAAATCAATGGTAAAATATAAAAAAATGTAAGTTGTTTGCTGAAAAGTAAAAGAAACTAATTGAGAAATTATACTAATTTTCTTAAGATAAATCAAAATACTATTCGCCTAGAAATAAAAAAGGATATAATCATTTTTTATTAAATTTGGTAATAAGCACTACTAATATTATTGTAATTGATTTAGATCTATTATACAGAAAATATACTGATATAGTATATTTTGTAACTTTTAAAACTGCATCTAACTTAAAACTAAGTAGTTTTATAACAGATACTATTTAAAACGATTTTACGACCACTCGAAGGGTATAAGATCAGAAGTTAGTTTAAATTGTATCGTGGAAAATTTGGACTATCATCAGTTGGCCTCGAGCAACAGCATCATACCAAATGATACTTAATACACGTACTTCTTATTTTAAAAAAATGAGCAATTAGAATTGTGTTTTTCACATCTAATAGCGTAAAACCAGGTTAAAGGACAACACAAAACAAATAAACAAAATTGGAAATTATCTAAGCTTTATTTATTGTGTTAGTATACGTCTTTCAGTTTTTTAATGATTTAATTGTTATTTATTAATAATTTATTGATTATTTACATTTTGTTCTGCTCCTCCCCCAATTATAAACGGGAATTCAAGTAGTAGATGGAAAACATATTTATTCACATATTTCTTTGAAAGATAATAAACAATAACATAGCTAGTAAGAAAAGGGAATTTTGTAAATAAGTCTTAAAATTATGTATTGAAGTTATTAAATGAAATAAATTTCATTCAATTAAATGAAAAATTACATTTAAGAAAACAAAAAAAAGGATAATATTTCCCCATTTCAATAAGTTTAAATTGCAATTATAGTTTTCAAATAATAAACTGTCTTTGTGCAATCTGAATTATCATTCATATTTATGCTTTTTTTTTTCTTTCAGGTTATGGCAATATAGCACCAAAAACAAATTGGGGGAAGTTGGTGACCATACTGTATGCTATTTTTGGCATACCACTTATGTTCCTCTATTTGACCAATATCGGTAACATCCTTGCCAAGAGCTTTAAGTTTGTCTACGGCCGTATCTGCTATCGTAGAAGGCTCAATGACAGCCGAAGGCGCCGTCAACAACAACTTGAGCAGTATCAGATCCATCACATAATGTTACAAGATGCTGCCTCGCCAAACGCAGGAGCAAATTCCATAGTGGATTCATCTACTTTAATAAGGTGAATTATTTTGCTTTAGAATGCTTTAAGCATGTATGTTAGAATTACAACTGAATTTATAAGAACTACAACTTGGTAAATTAAGCTTTCAAAAAAATTGAAAGTAGTATTAATTGTTCATTAGCTTACTGCTGAAAGTTTCAGAAAATGTTTTTCAAACAACATGCATTTTTGAATGGTCAGCGTGATGTAATTGATTATTCATAACATACACTTTACTCAAAATAACTTTAAAAAATTGATGTTAATACTTGATGGAATAAGTCATAAAACTTAAAATTAAACAGTTAAAATTAACGATAAATAAAATTGTCACCGTTTTTTCATTAAAATATCTTGGATATATTTAATCGAATTATAAATCAAACATCTTACGTTATTGGTTATATAAGTGTAGTCATTACATATTTTACAAATTTTAAAATAATCTACCATTACGAATTTATGCAAATTAATGCTCATTAAGCTATTTCTACTAGTTAAACCATTTACGAAATTAAATTAAGTTAACAGGAATTGAACATATTTGCTGGAGAACAAGGATTTCAGCAAAAAAAAACTATCTTGTCTTGTTGATATAAAAACATAATATTTTATTTTTTAGCTATTTTGAGAAACGGCTGTGTTACGGATAATCAATTTTTCCTTAGTAATTTGTTACCTTACTCAAAAGTAGACATTAAAACAAAATTCATTAAAAATGTTGATTTTAAATAAGATATTTTACATTTTTGTCAATAAATGTTTATTGCAGTAACGAAAAGAAACATATTTTTAATTATTTTCAGCTTTTTTATTTAAATATTCCAAAATTTAAATCCTCACAAACATTGAAATTTTTTATATGGGAAATTGGGCTTTGGATTTATTATATTAAACTGTGACAAAAATTCATTAAATTATATTGTTTTTAAAATTTTGAATACAGGATATCATTTTGAGACATACTACAAGTTCGATGAACGTTCTAGTATTTACTAACATCAAACATAGTGGGACAAAAAAGAAATAAAATCAAAGTATTCTCTCGTTTGCATATTTGGAACACTCTTAAAAGGAAGAAACATTTAGAGAAATTTGTATTGAAAATTAAGTTTGAAAATTACTATGTAAAAAAGTTCTGCTACAATTGAAATGATTCTTCAACATAATTCTTAAGTCCTTGCCAATGTCGCCCGAATCCAGTACGGGCAACTATGTGCTTTATTTGTGATGCCCGAACTGTTTTCGTTTCTACTTTAGGACACTTAATTCACTATTTTCCTAATAGATGGCATTAGTGATCCTAGTTTTTCACAGATTACGACTTCGGTCGTACGATTGAAATGTGGATGGGGGTTTATGGAAATTCCATACTGTAAAAGATTTGTATAATTTATGTAATGAAAATCATATTTTTGTGTTTTCATAATATATCATCCTAGTAATACTATATTTAAATAAAAAATTTTTTAATTTGCTCTAATTTAATAAAATGTGTGTGTAATGCATTACTTTTTTATGTGTATGTAAAAATTATAAATACAGTAGTTATTGCATTAAAAATTTTATTTTTGCCATAAAAAACCATTTTTCAACTTTTATAATAATATAAAGAACAAAATTAAACAGTAAAAGGAAAATTCAATTTTTGGTCCTTTTTTCTGAAATATATGTCAATGTTAACGGGTTAAAACAGTAGCTTATATTTTTAATTTGGAAAACAATTCTTTTATGTTGTTCTATGTCACCAACTTTTAAAAAATGTTTAAATAAAAAATTTAATCTACTTGAAGTAAAAAGTTTCATTCTTATATCTAAAATATTTTGCCATCATGCAGCATTATTTTTAAATTATTATTTTCATCAAAAAAAATTAATCTCTCTTACGTCACTATTTAAAGAAAAATTAAATGCTTATCTTAAATCTGCTCTCTTTCACTTTACGTTAATGCTTAAATAAACGATACAAACCTTGTAACTTTAATCAAATGTATACTGTAAATCACCCAAAATTGCTTTTTGTTGAATTACATAGAAAAATAATCCGTAAATATGTTTCCCGAGATTGTTTTCAGAAAAGTTTTTTTTTCACTGTCAAGTCAATATTAATTAAAAATGTATTGTTACATCTGGTTAATAAATGTGAAATAATAGTAACGATGAACAATATAAAAACATGTGTCCCGTGTTCTCTGTTACTCTGTTACCATGAATATGGTAAGATGAAAGAAAAATGTAAGGAAAAAAAAGAAACTGCTGTTCAATTTACTTGAATATGTTCTATAAAAAGCTCAAGAGCTTGTACAAAATGGAAAAACTTTGCTTAATTTTGCAACTGAAAAATCAAATGAAAATTAAAACAATTAATTTAAAACAATCATACCACTAACAGATGAGAAGTAACTGAAATATCATTACCTTGTTAATGCTTTATTTTCATGGAACATGGCAGTTACATTGACAATTTTAAAATAGATTCCTAATATAAAACTAGAACCTCCATGGAGTCCAGGTACTTACATATGTCAACTTAATAAAAATAACTGAATAAAAATAACTTAATGCTATAATTTGATATAATAATATCATACAATAATTTAACTCAATAATTATGCTTACTTAGTAGAAATATACTGCAAAAACAATAAAATGGCTGATTTTTACTCAAAATCAGCTTTTAAACTACATTTTAGATAAGCTGCGTTATTCATTACATAAAAAACTATTTCCAAAATTAAATAAATTAGAATTGTGTTTAATTCACTGTAAGTTTTACTACAGATAAAAGAAAGATTAATAAATTTAGGATGTATCAATTTGCTTGGATCTGACATATTAAAGGCATACTACGCAGCAATTATTTTTAAAAACGTAATTTCTTTTTGTTTATCAAGTACTAAAAATTTATAGTAAATCATTCTTAATGCTTAAAAGTATCATTTTCAATTTAATTTCATTTAAACTTATATCATTTAAACTTATGATTTTTTCCCCAATTGTTTTAGGAACAAATTGAATTCGGACCTCGTCAAAGATGATTTGGATGACGATGGTATCACAACATACTCACCAAAACCACGTGTGACTGTTCCAATCACTCTATGCTTGTTGATAATAGCTGGCTACATCTGTGGTGGAGCAGCTTTGTTTTCTGTTTGGGAAGGTTGGGATTATCTAGATGGTTCATACTTTTGCTTTGTCACTCTCAGCACCATAGGATTTGGTGATTTGGTGCCAGGTGATTCTGTTGTTTCAGATGACGGGACACAAGAAAAGCTTGTTATATGTTCGTTGTATTTATTAACTGGTATGGCATTAATCGCTATGTGCTTTAATCTTGTGCAAGAAGAAGTAGTCTTCAAGTTACGAAAGCTGGGTAGGACACTGGGTTTGTTAAGTGATCGTGACGATTCTGAAGACTGAATGTTCTTCTTGCGATGGTTGATTAATTAATGACGCAAAAAGAATCAATATAAGAGCCATTGGTTGATTTTCGACACACACGAATTTAAACAGTTGGAGACAGATGTGGTACGAAAGAAACATGCCTGGGACAATTGAGACTGAATTTTCTGATATTAAATGCCCTGTCCTAGCCAAGAAATGTGATGTTTTCAAAAAGTATGGAATCTAAATACAGAAGCAGGAACAACTTAAATGATGGTCTGTATAGAGAAATGACGATCATTTTTTTAAAAAGAAAGCATTGTTTCAATAAATTATTGTTGAATGATTTAAAGTAAAAATTTCGTAACCAATATATTTTTTGGAAAATGAATTTAAGGATCAATTAAATCAAAAAAGTAACTAAATTTCAAGGGAATGGACGCAAAACCCGATAAATGTGTTTAAAAATATTTATAAGAGACAAAGATGCACACTCTACGTCCATGAGAAGCCTATATGTGAAAGATATAATAATAAATACCGAGAATGTTGTGTCCAGCACAGAACGTGAAATGTCAGACAATTGTTTTTATCAAACACTTATAAAGACCGTAAGCGGAATTTAGTAAATTTATGTCAACAATGACTTTTAAATGACCCCAAACTTTCATTTGCATACTACTTTAAAGTATGGTAATTTTGTTTTATAACATTCATATCAAATGATCAGCAAGTACGAAAAAATCGTAAATACATTTTTGAGAACTGGTCGCTAAATTTATTTGATTAACAGTGACCCACAACTATGATTTGTAATAGGCATCATGTTTTTTGTTCAACATCATATTTCAGTTTTTATCACTACCATGCAAGAGCAGAACATTTAATGTGTGTTCAGTGATGTCTGAATATGTATATTTAAAGCCTTAAACATGCAAACATAATGACATTGATGGCACTAATACCATGACATTGATGGCACTTATACAAAGGTTTGATACACATTCCGGCAAAACATAAATTATGGCACCCATGTTTGCATTTTATGGTTTTAATATAAAACCTGACATGTAGATTAATATATTCATTAATAAAAATTTTACGTTCAGTAAGGAAGTCATTCATTTATTTTACTTAATTATTTTTGCAAAATTACAGTTATTAATAAAAACTGTAATAGTTTGAATCTTAACGCTGCTTTTCGAAGCTCTGTCACCAAGGAAAATAAAAAAGTCATTGTTTAAGTGCCTTACACTTGAAGCAGGTTTTGAACTATCGATATAATCTTGCCGTGAAAAATTATCTGAGATTTAGAACAGACAGTAATTTAATTATTTTAGGAGATATTATACTTTTTTTTAAAAAAAACCATCAATTTGGTGACATTTCCCCCCCTAGAATAAACTTATCAAAATTACTGTCTTATTCTCAGCTTTTGCAAATTTTTATGAGCCCAGATAATACAGCATTGGAGTACATTTTTAAATATTATGAAATTAGGCCACAAACTCTCTTAATTTTCACAAAACTGTGTCTTTTCTCCATAATGACATTTTGCACCATTTTCAAAATAAGCGTAGACAGCGCTGGCTTTGGATAGGCTACACGTGAACTAACAGTCATGAGTAACAATTGCAAACTCATAGCAGTTATATAAATAGAATATTATTCGCAAAAAAGCATCATTTCACGTTACGATGGAGCCTTTGAAAAACAGCCTTGAGGCCTTATGGTGACATCACAAATAAGTAAGCCAGCGAGAATAATGGAAATACTCAGTACCAACGTGAAGAGTAGAAGCGGACAATGGTCTAACATAGGGTGTGTGCAAGGCACGTAGAAATACATTAAAAAAGTCAATAGTTCTGCGATAATGTAAAAGTTTAAAAAATGCTATTCAAAGCTATTTCATATTCTCACTGAATTTTGAGGAAATAGCTAATTTGTCTGAATAATTTAAACTGAACACAGAGAAAAATATTCTGGTAAAATTACATATAGTCATTTTTGGTAAAGAAAACAACAACATAATTCTGGTAATTTGGTAATAAAACCGAAATAAATGGTTTCTTAAACCATTTATTTGGTAATTTTTCCTTTCATATGTCAAGGGTTTACCGATAATTCTAGTTTTCAAAATTATTGTAATTATTGTATTACTCACGTTTGATAAAAAAAAGCTATGTATGAAAATTAGTATGCCATTCTCTAACGAATCATGATAAGAATGACGAAATTTTACATTTTCCTATTTTTATCACATATTATGAAACCATATTTCATTGTTAGTATTACTAATACAATTACCGAAGTGTTTCGTTAAAAATGTCTTTTTAGTATTCCCCTAAAATCAGAAACAAGGTAAATTTTACCATATTCAGGTAATTTTGACAATATATTTTTCTCAGTGAAGTCATAGCTAAAACCACAAGTAAGTGAAGGAATTGAAACTTTTTTAAATGTTAATGTTTAGCATTCACATTATATGCCTTACAAAATGTTTCCTAAATTTCCCCGCTTGCTTAGTGTTTATTAGCATATCGTAACTTTGGAAATACAAGAGTATTCTCAGAGCTCTTTCTCAAATTTCCAATGTAAAACCGACTCTATCTTATTGTTTTTGATAGACCTCTGTATGGGATTGGAAAGAAAGCAAAAAAAAAAAAAAATTAAAATTCAGCTTCCATGAGAGTCCCGGAAAGCTTGGTAATTTTTACCTGCCTTCGATAATGATTTTTGTAAAATTATAATTTAAGTATGGTTTCATAACATGTGGAAAAATTTGGTTACTGTGGGAAAATTTGGTAAGTTCGTCATAATTCCTTAACGCCAGCATAAAAACCATTTACTCGATTAAATTTACTTTTCAATTTTATATTTAAAAGAAAATGTAAGGAAATAAGAACTATTAGTTTGAAAACAGGAATTTCCGAAAAAACTGTTACCATGCAAACAGAAAAATTACCGAATAGATGATCTAGACACCGTAATTATGTATATATATATATATATATTGAACAGTTGACTTGCTACTTATGACTGCGACATTATCCACCTCCTCACGCTGTTGCTGCTCAGTCTCGTCTCGATCATACGCAACGTCAGCCTGCATATACTCGACTACTAAAGGCAACACAGTTGCAACTACGACCGTGAAGTTAATACACCTCTCACATTCAGCACTCAAAAAATACGGTGATCTTAATATTAAATCAAACCA